CTTGTTATAAAACAGGTGTGGATGTCAAATCCCTATAAACTGTAAATCCCAGAATTCAGTGTCCTACCTTGATCTGAGCAGCCTTCTCCAATCCACTCCTTCCCCACATGTTATCGGGGCAGCACGTGTATTCTGCTATGGTTCAATGAGAATTGTTTCCCTGGAATCCTGGCAGGTTGTTAACATGACTCTGAAGTTGGGCTAAGTCCGGGAAACTCTAGCATGGAAAATACTAAGGTTTTTTTTTTTCTATTTTAAAAACCCCTCTTTTCAGTCCACTCAATCTGCTTTGCTGAGTTGCCTTTCAATATCTTTAATAAACCAATATTTTGAAACACTTCTCCTTTCTATTCCTACCATTCCTACCAGAGAGTTTAAAGGACATAATTACCTCCATCATGCCCTCAGTGCCCCTCTTGTTTTATGTGGTTCCTGAGGGGAACCACCTAATCTGCATACTCAAGGTTTGCCAAGCAGTGGCGAGCCCTGCTCGCCAGCCGCGCGGTTCTGCGCATGCGCAGATTGCTCCGTGCCGGCTCTTCCGGGTTGTAAACTACTCGCCACGGGTGAGTAGATTACATTATTTGTCGAACCCTGTGCATACTATACAACAAACAGAAGAAAATCAAGGAGGCGCTCTCAATACTAGAGACTCCCCTAAAAACCCAAGGTTCCACATACGCTTCCTCTTGGGTAGACTTTACTAAAACCCAACAAGCCACCTACAAGGATTATTTCACCGTTCATCAGAAGAAAAAGGACAATAAACTCTCCAAACTCCTACACGCCTCAGGATCTTTAATTCCCGGTACTTTCAACTGACCTAGCAACACTGTCAACCTTTCCAGCCACATTTTTAGCCCGGCAGAGGAATCGGTCCTGTCTCCAGGACTCTCCTTCTGCCGCTCTACTCCCATTAATGTGATTCTGTTCTGTGGAGATCTGGAAGCCTATTTTTTTTTGCCGCTTCCACCTTTAGTTCATATTCGTGTATCTTCACCCATCTCAAGAAATTCACTGAACCCCTCTCTATCTGCTGCCTCCCCATATTCTGCCCCCTCGTGCTGGGCAGCAGAGTTCTGAGTGCTGTAGAAAAGCCCTTGGAAGCATTTGCAGCTGGGACCTATGCTTTTTTGATCCCTCTCTTAAAAGGGACAGTATTATTTTGTGTGTGTCTGAAATCTTTACCCTATTCCCTCTCTTCTCTGGGTAATACTCCAGCCCATCTGCTTCTCTGGGGAACAAGTCAATGACTGTCTGGTACCACTTGCCTGGCCCTAATCTCTTCCCTAGATGAGCTAGATTGTAAAACCCAGTAAATAAATACAGAATCAGAAAGCTAAGCAGACGTTTTCCCTCCAAGGGGAAGAGGGTCAGCAAATCAAAGGCAGATCAATATTGGTTGGACCAGTTGAGCTGTAAGGAGAAGGTATTCCTTCCCCAACAGATAAAACCCCTTGCAGGCTGTGTTTATGGTCTCCATAGTGTCGACATACCCCGAGGGCTTATTTTCTCTAGAGGCAATACAGCAGGGCTACAGCACTGCAGCTGTGCCAATGTCATGTTGTAGCATAGGCACTTGTACAGCCTTGGGAGGGGTTTTCTGTCATGGTAGTTAATCCATCCCCTTGAAAGGCAGTAGCTAGATTGATAGAGGAATTCTTCCATTGACTTAGTGGTATTTGTACCTTGGTTTAGGTCAGAATGGTTTCGGGTGTGAGTTTTTCACACTCATGAGTTACTTAGCTAAGTCAGCCTAAGTGTTGTGTGAGGGCCAGATCCAAGTGTGATGTTTCCCTTTCTGTAGCAAGACACTTACTTTTCATTTCTGTACCAAGGAGGAGGGGAGACACTTTTTTTTTTTTTTTTTTTTAATGTAACCTTTGTTTACTGTCAGAACAGTAATTTGATGCACAGTAATTGGCAGGTCAGCTCATCAACTTCTGTACACAAGTAATTACTACTTTATAAAATATTATGTGTTTTGTTCAAATCCTTGGCCATAAATTATTTACCCGGGGAAATGTAAGTGTGCTAGGCTGAGCATATTTTTCCAGGAAGCCGGAGACTGCACCAAAAATGATGCAGTGTAATTTGCTGTTACTCTGATATCATTTTTGCAGAGTCATGTTTGTTGAGTTTTAAATGTATTCTCCTTGGCTGATTTCCCAGAATAGGTAGCAAAGCAAGAACAAGTAACCATATAGTGCAGCAAAGTGATGTATGAACTCAGATGGCAGATTAAAATACATGGGCTTTATTAGTCTCCATCCCAGTATTCCTTTCGGCATTTAATTTAAATCTTTCATCAGTGTAATAACTGAACTTCCAAACTCGATTTCTAAAGGAGTGGCTTTCAGCCTGCGGTCTGCAGACCCCTGAAAGTCTGTACTCTGTTTCTAAGGGGAGGGAATGCTTCCATTTGAAAATGTTTAGGATCAATAGATTGAGAGGTTGAAATCCACTCTTCTAAAGGAATTTTTATTTTGATTTATTTATGAAACATTTCTGTTGTAACTATATGAATATTGTCTTCAAGAACTCTGCTTATATCACGTTACTATGCATTGGGGGATGGTGTTGCATCAGCCGTCCCCACTGATACTCTTTGTGTTGTAATTTGGCTTTTTTTTAATTCCATTGGCACTGGTATTCCCTGTAAGCTGTGTACTTGTGCTATTAATCAACTAATTGAATAGTTGGGTGGAATTTCCATCAACTATTTGATTAATCAATAAGGACGCTTCCACTTTGAAATGTAGTAAGAGCCTGCCCGGCTGTTGCTACATTTCAAAAGTAGAAGCGCTGCTCACCATTCTGCCTTTGAAATGTACAAGAGCCCCAGCAGGGACTCTTGTGCATTTCAAAGGTGGAACGCCGCCTGCACCTTTGTTCCGTCCCACGGAGCTGGAGCTGGGTGAAACCGGCTTCCCCCCAGAACCTCCACCTCTTCCCCCTCCCTTGCTACCTACCTCTTTCTGATAGAAGCAGCAGTGGTGGGGGGCGGGGAGCAACTGGTCAACTACTGTGTCGGCTGTCCAATAAGCTTTTGCACATTGGGTAGTTGATTAGTCGCTTATATCCCTAGCTTATGCATCTGCTCAGGAGAAATTCAAATCCTGCTCAGCTGATTAGCAGAACATCCACAGCTAGGTTTTGGGTTGCTGTTGGTGGTGCACATTTGCACATGCCTTGGTGTACATAACGTTTATTCCATACATGGTTGGAAAAGACGAGAGGGAACATTGGTATCTTATGCGAAATCTAGAGGAGATTTGATATACTTGTTTGCACTTGAAGACTGAAAGCTGGGGTACCAAATGGTGGCGGTGGGTAGAGCAGGAAATCCTGGACACACAGAGAAAGTAAGTGTGAATCACTCTTCAATAATCTCTGTATAGCCAAAATCAAATCCAAGTTTGCTTGCATGGCATTCCAGTGCCTTAAAATCTTTGTCAGCTCAGAGACCTGGGATGGGGAATTGAACCCATGACCCTAATGCAGTAGAACTGGATTACAGCAAGACAAAGGGCATGATTAACAATATAAACCATCACATTTTTCATCCCTTCTTAAACAAAAAAAAATTCATGTTAATGCATTTAGAACAGTCGGAAAGATATCTTAGTGAAATGCCTTTAATATAGTAGATTATGGGGCTAAAACATGAATATAGCAGTATATGTAAACAAAACCCTATTATCTAGCATGCGTCATATTCCATAGCATGAAAAGTGTAATACCATAATCCAATTATAAAACACTTCCGTGTGGAGTTCTGTCTGTCTTGCATATGAATTAATGTAAATCTCAGGCCCAATTGTTGATCGGTTTGCAAAACTTCTCCATCCCCGTGCTTGGCACAATATCCTCGCATAGAGCAGGGGTACAGTGCATGCTGACAGAAGAGTTTGTCTGTCCCCAAAGTGTGCTGTGTTGATGGAATCTCTCTTCTGTCGTGCTGTGTCTGCACTGGGCGTTACGGTAGCATAGCTGTGTGGATGAGGGTTGGGAGGGTGCTGGGGTTTTTGCACATTCCTGACTGCCATGGCTGTCAGCCCAACTCAATGTAGCGCAAGCCTTAGTTGAAACTCTTACCTTTTAAAATGTAAAACTAATGTGGATTCCTCTGTCTTGAGCATTAATAGCTTGCAGGTCATCTAGTCTTATTTAGGTTGTAATCCCTTCAAGGACAGGAAAGTAGTACACTGCTGTTCAGATAGACTAAATATAAGATATTATGAGCACATTCTCCTCAGAATTTGAAGCCCATTCCTTGTTGCATCCAGTTACTAGCTAAATCCTGAAGCAAAATGCAGGACAATGTAGCACTTTAAAGACTAACAAGATGGTTTATTAGATGATGAGCTTTCGTGGGCCAGACCCACTTCCTCAGATCCTGTACATCTTCAGAATCCATTCTCTCCTCTGCACCCCTTCTGTTAAACTACTAGTCAAGCTGGCTACTTCTCCTCTAAATGCTAGAATTTTATCCTGGCCTCCCAATTCTCTGGTCTGCCCTCAATTGCTAGGGACAGCTGGGCTCATCTCAGTACTGTACAGGGAATGGGATGTTACCTTGGATGACTGTCCATTGTTAACCAAATACATGTTGGTGACGGGATGGGTCTGAGGTTAATATCTTGCATTTTGCTCTCTTTCAGGTGCTTGTGTTTCTTGGCACTACTGGTGCTCAGTCAAAGCTGACTCCTGAACAGAATGCCATAAGCCTCTCCTCTGGCAAATATCACCACATTGACCGTGCCACTAACAAAGAGCTGACCTGTGACAAATGTCCAGCAGGAACCTATGTGTCTAAGCACTGTACAAAAACAACCTTAAGAGAGTGTAGCCCTTGTGCAGAGGAGACCTTTACGAAGCATGAGAATGGTATAGAGAGATGCCACATCTGTCGGAAACCTTGCGAGCTGCCAATGGTGGAGAAAACACCCTGTACTGCCTTGACTGACCGCGAGTGCACTTGCCCGTCCAGTACATTTCAGTTGAATGACACCTGCGTCCCTTATTCAGTCTGCTCAGTTGGCTGGGGTGTGCGGAAAAAAGGAACGGAGACTGAAGATGTTAGATGTAAACCTTGCCCTCGTGGTACCTTTTCTGATGTGCCTTCCAGTGTGATGAGATGCAGAACGTTCACTAACTGCTCGAGGAAGAATATGGTGGTGATAAAGCCAGGAACAAAGGCAAGCGACAACATCTGTGGGTTTCCATCATCCCTTCCTAATGCAGTTATGTCTTCAGTGAGCCCAGAAGAGGAGGATGTAAACTATGAAGTTCCATCTACCACTTACGTTCCTGAAGGTAGATTTCCACCCTCCCCTCCTCCCCAAAGAGAGTTGTTGTTTAAGCCTGTCTTGTTGATGCAGTAAAGTGGGGATTCAGATGCAGAACTCTAGGCTCTTGGATGCTGTTAAAGGGGCTCTTGCACCATTGACAGGCTCAAACTGCGCTGCTGCTCTGTAAGGCAAACACAGTTTGGAAACCCATTTAAGAAGGGAGTTTACTCCCCTGTGTACTACACCATCAAGCTAGGACACGGAGGATCTTGTTCCAATAGTGGTTTCTGCAGGAGAGCTGGAAGCGTGAAACTAACTCCCTAGAACTCCAGTCTTACCTCCAGTTTTTTTTTTTTTTTTTTAAATATATCATTGTGGCCTATCTTAAATCGAGTTTTGTGTTTTTCTCTTAAGTCTGGAGTGAAACATCCTTGTATTAAATCTCTTTAATTTTTATAGTTAAGGTTTCCGTAAGCCATTGCAGGTGGGGAAAATTTCCATTGGATCTCAAACTCTGTTTTCTTTAACACGATCAGAAATACAGAAAGCTTCCAATCGCTATCAGCTCCCGTTTTGACTATGTAAAGCGCCTGAAAATAATTCCTTAGTGAGTTAGAGTAAAGCTAAGCATTGTACAAAAATACTACACTTAGCTGAGACTTCTCACTGAAATATATTTTGGGGTGTTCAATTTGAGATACCTTAAAGGGACCTGATCTATAGAGAATGGGTGTTCATTGCTGCCTGTAAATTATGTCGTATTAACGGGTCTCAAATTAGGCATTCTCACATTGTGGCACACCAAATTTCTAGTTACTCAAACCTTGTCTGTTACGTTTACATTTTCTCTCCAGCTGATTCCTTAGCTATTACTATATATAATAGTCTTAATTTGTAGCTCTCTAATGTGGACAAGTTTCATATCCAATTGACAAACTGAGGCACAGATTAAATGGCTACAAAAAGTTACAACCTGGCAGGGCTGGAATAGAAACACTCTCAGGACTACTAGCCTAGCCTTGTGAGTACTTTACTAGGCTACAGTCCCTGCTATGCTAGTCTGTGCTATTCTTTTGCAAGGCTTTTAATTCATAAGATTGACTAAAAATTCAGGACAGTCACTAATACATAAATCTATTCATGAGTGGTGAAAATAAACTTTCAAGGAACACATTGAACTTAAGTCATACTTTGTGGCCAAAGGACCTCAAGCCTCTCCTAAGAACAACTAGGCTCCTGAACTGGATAATTTTCCAGCAGCTACTTACGTTGGTTTTGCTTTCTGTATTTCTCTTACCAAAATCTGTTAAGCTAGTTTCAGTTTGTGACTTCTGCAATATTTGGGTTACAAACAGCACGGGAGAGTGCTTTTAGTGGTTTGACAGCTTTCCTGTTGACCCGAAGCTCTGTAAAGAATGTGTGCTTCAGTTTTTTAAAAAATCTAAAACTTGGGGTTGAATATAAGGTGACAACATCCCTCTAATCACCCAGCAGTCTTTGCTGAGGAGTTTTCACAAATCCAATGTCTAACACACACTAAGCCAGAGTAATTAGAGATAAGTTGAGCAAGCTAGTGTGTAAGAAATAACATAAGTTTGCATCTTATGTCGTTAAAACTGAACCTCACTATCCTACACAAGTATATAGCCCTCGAAGTGTGGACCTTGAAAGGAAGCACAAGATGACTATGCCAATTTTGGTGTCCTTGTGTGGCTTAAGATTTTTTAAAAATAAACAGAACCTTCATGGACCTCAAGTTTCTCTGTTGTTCACAGGTGTCAACTCTTCAGTTTCCAGCTTTGCTGCCTCTCCTAGACCAAATGTGTACAATGGCACGATAGAACCAACAGACTTTTACAATGAAACCTCAGAGAATGGGACAGATAATTTCAATATGACCATCTCAAACTCCAGGGCTACACATCACCAGCAAAATCATTATCACAAACACAGCCCGTCAGTTCTGAAACAACAACCAGCATTGGAGATGACAAGCGGTGAAAAGTCGAGCATTCCCTACATGCCCCCCAAGAGAGGCCTGCCGCGCCAGAACGCTCACAAGCATTTTGATATCAATGAGCACTTACCATGGATGATTGTCTTGTTTCTGCTGCTAGTTCTCGTGGTGATAGTTGTGTGCAGTGTTCGTAAAAGCTCACGGACACTGAAGAAAGGTCCTCGGCAAGATCCCAGTGCTATTGTGGAGAAGGCTGGTCTGAAAAAATCCGTTACTCCGACTCAGAACAGAGAGAAGTGGATCTACTACTGCAATGGGCATGGTGAGTTATAGCCGCTGAGAAACTAGCTGCGGGGGGAATGCAACAGGTATTCAAGGAGTAATGTGCCTTGCTTTTTCTGTTAATCACATGCAGAACACCTCCAGGCCTCTTCTGCATTAAAAATATATCTGGGTCTTTATTGGTTGCAGATGGCATTGATCTACAGACATGTTTAGTGAGTGAGAAGTAAGCTTCTGCTTTGCTCTGTCCATCATGGCAAGACAAATCTTCAACATATGTTCCAGATTCTCACTAAATATTCTTCCTTAGGCTACACAATTCCCTCCAGCTTCTTCCCCTTGTTGTTTGTTTCCCTTCCATCCTACACTCACGTGGCAATAGGAGCATGAAAGATTTTGCTGCTTGTTTTGATTTATCACCTCCCCTTTCTCTGTATATGGACGTGATAGTATAAACAGTTAGCCGATGAGCCTGCCTAGCTCTGAAGCCAGAACCATGGGCAACAGTGCAGAAGTGAGGGTAGCAGTACTGTATTCCCCGCCCCCTTACGAAAACCATGCAGCCTCCTCCCCCCTCATGACTTCTTCTTGGATCAGGGCCCCTACCGTAGCAACACCAAGAAATTTGAAATTTCAATAGCTGAATTCATTACATTTACGATTTTTTAAAATGTTATGACTGAGAAATTGACCAAAGTGGACTGTGAATTTGGTAGGGCCCTAATATTGACTGGGCCAGTTATCCCATATTGACTGGGAACATGTCATCTCAGGCCAAGATGCCATACTACAATTGCTAGATACCACTAGTAACTGCTTTTTGGAGCAATTATTCCTGGAACTCACAGGGACAGATACATTCTTGATTTGGTCCTCAGTGGTGCATAGGATCTAGTCTGAGAAGTGCATATAGCAGAACCACCAAGTCCTTGTGACCCTAGTGTAATTAAATTTTAACATCGTTGTAGGGCAAAAAATGCCAAACGCACCACAGTAACCTTTTACTTCAGAAAAGGGGAATTACCCAAAACTGAGAGAGCTAGTTAAACAGAAAATTGAAAAGACCAATTACAAAACTGAACTGTCTGCAAGCTGCATGGAAACTATTTTGAAAACACCATAATAAACATTCAAACTAAATACATACCCAAAATGATGATAATCAAAAGCAGCAAGGGGACCAAAACAGCAGGGTAAAAGAGGTGGCTAGAGGCAAAAAGGCATCTTTTAACACTTTGAATTCTGAACCTAGTAAGGAAAATAGGAGGGAGTGTAAACTCTGGAAAGTCACGTGTACAGCTATAATTAGGCAGGCCAAAAAAGAAGCCAAAGGGCAATTCGCAAAAGATATTTCTGCTGTTAATTTTTGTATGTACAGCAGAAGCAAGAAGACTGCCAAGCACTCACTTGGACAATCAAGGTGCTGAAAGAGCACTGGAAGAAAATAAGGCCGTTACAGAAAAGCAAAATGAATTCTTTGCATCAGTCTTCATTGTAGAGGATGGCCAGTCTTCTTAGGTGACAGATATGAGGAATTGTTCCAGACTGAGGTGTCAAGAGAGGACAGGAGATAATTAATAATAAATTGAACAATAACAAAGTCACCAGGAATATTCACCCAAGCTTTCTGAAGGAATTCAGATATGGATTTGCAGAAACATTAACTTTGGTATCAAAACGTGTAGTCCTGAGGCACTTTAGAGACTGATAGATAAATATACATATTACAAGCTGTGCTTTCATGGGCAAAACCCATTTCGTCAGATGAGGAGATCTTGAGTTCTTTCAAGTTGAAATCAGGGTGCGTCACTCAATAATTGCCTCATTCTATTCGTTTCCTCTGAAGCAGCTGGCACTAGCCATTCTTGGAGAACAGGACACTGAGCTAGATAAATCATGTGTCTGTCCCACTATGACCTTTCTTATTTTTCTGCTTTTCTCCCTTGCCTACCACTGGCTATGGTTTCTCTGGTTGACACCCACTCCTTGTATCTCCCCTCTTCCCCCAAATACTGACTCATCAGCCCAGCTCAGTCCAGACCCTGCTTGCTGTAATAATGGGATTGCTCAAGAGAAGCCTGTATGTTTTGTATGTTTATCCCAGAAGCTGGTGAGGGGATGCCGTCCAGTCATGCTAAATTCCAAAGGGATACTTATCCACCTGCTGAAACCTCATTATTTCCAAGTTTCCATTGCTGCAGTCCATCTGGAGTCCCAGTGTGGTATCTTCTGCAATCTAAGAGCTTTGCAATCTAAGGGCTTTGTCTACGCTTTAGTGTTGTCACTTACTTGTGGAGGGGAGCAAACAACACACAAAGCGCAGCAAGTTATGGAGCTCTAAAGCACCAGTGTAAACAGGCTCCCAATGGTAGCTGTTAGCTACTCCTCTCCTGGAGTACCTAGAGTGCGAGGGGAGGTATTCCCCCCAATGCTGGTGCTATGACCACTGTCACGTTAAGGTGCTGCCTCAGTAGTGCTTTAACTCATCAGTAGAGACAAAGCCTAAGAAAAATAACAAGGTGAATAGAAGAGGGGTTTCTACTGATAGTCAAAAAGTGTGAACTGTCTCCATGTTTGTCTGCCTGTATCTCAGTTCAGTTGTCTGTGTGCAAAGGGGACTGCCTGGAAAACAGGTCTGGTATGGAGAATTCAATTGGCAAAATAGAGAAAGCAAGAAGTTGGCATGCTTCATGGACCAGTAGTGAGGAACTCATTGGGGATGGGAGCTTGGAAAGTGGGGAAAAGAAGCTGGAACTTGATGTAGTGTTGCAGGGCTAGCCAGGGTTTGGGAGGCTGGGCTTTGATCAACGCCATGGGTCAGGAAGATAATCTTAGCAGCTAAGTTTTGTACAGATCACGGAGGGAAGGTGCATTTGCAGTGAGAAGTCTTTTCCTGCTCTAATGAGCTTGCAATCCAATGTTTCATGTTGTACAATCATCTAGAGGTTTTTCAGTGCCTATGGGATTATAGAGAACTAAAACTTAGGAGCCATAAAGTAAGTAATAGGTATATTCTGCATCTCCCTGTGCACTGTTGTCCTGTCTCTAATTTAAAAAAAAAAAATCTGAATCTGAACAATGAACAGAACTGCAGATGTGGGGCTCTCTAGTTGTATGCTAAACCCTCCTCATGCCTTCCCTAAACATAGCCTATTTGTAGGGAGTGGCACAAACAGCATCTGTTGCCATTGTTACTAGAACATGATTGAGGTGTGTGGTGGTTTTTTTTGTTTTTTTTTTTTTTTTTTTTAAATGCAGCTCTTGTAATCATTCTATAACACAGGCAATATTGGTGTGACCTGCCGAGCCGGCTGGCTGGTGTATGGCTTGCATTTGCCATAAATGATTTCATTTGAAACTTCATTGCTTAGAAATGAAGACAAGATGAGCAGAAACCAATTAATATTTTGATGATTGTGGATGAAAAATGATTTGGGGTTTGACTAGAACAGACTACTTGTTAATTTTAATTTGGTTGGCAGCTTGCAACAAAGATGTCTGTGACATGAACTCATTTCTTCAGTTACAGTAGTGTCCAAATTCCTTTTTGCTTTGTTGACATGGAAGATTGGTTCGTCAAAGCCAAATCTGTTGGAAAATAGATTCCTCTGTATTCCATTCTATTGTCTTTTACCCTTTCATTAAATTCACTCCTCTCAGAACTGAGGGAGCCTCATAAAAACAAAGCTGAAAGAGGAAAAAAATTGTACGCATTCCAGTCTTGCTCTTGCTGTAATACCGACGTGAATTAACAGAGTTCCAGATTACTACTATGTAACCTGGATGGTCACCTGTCCCAGAACCTTAGAACACAACACCTGGATGAACTTAAGCACCAGATGCAAGTTCATGGTTTGGGTTGGGCTTGGTAATGGGCTGGTTGGCAGCTCCAGAAGAGGCACTTAAGATACCGATAGGGTCTGAACTATCCCCATGAAGTAATTCCTCTGGATTACTTAAAGCACTGTGGGTAGAAACTGGTGCTGCTGTGACCTACACAGGACTTGGTCTGACGGCCATCAGCAGGGCTGCCAATGTAAGATGGCCATCAGCAGGGCTGCCAATGTAGCCACTGCATAGTTGCTAAAGTCACAATACCTTGTGTTCTGTATAGCAACTAATGCCCATCCCAAAGTGTCTTACGCAACCATCTTTCTTTTAATCCTTTGTCAGCTACTTTAGTCTCTAGTTGTCTGAAACCCTTCCCCCCCACTTCTAATGTATTCCTTGTGGCTTTGTGAAGCCCTGAATTTTAGGGGAAGCGTGTTTTTAAACTGCAGACATCTAGCACGTCATTTTGCATCTAAACGTCTCCTTTTTATACTGGTGCTTTACCTTCGGAAATAATGGCAAATGCGTGATTTCTTTTTTTTTTTTTTTTTTTTTTTCCCCTAACCCAGTTATACTTTTGGCCATTTTAACATCTGTCGTGTGGTTCGATTTTATTTTAGATCCAAGGGAAAACAGGACATTCTAGGGAGACTTAACCACTTCCTTATTTATTCCAAGCTTTAAGCATTTAACACAGTTGTTGAAGTTTCACAAGCCTTAGAAACAATTACTATACAATTTAACCCTTAAATACTATACAGTCCAAAGCAATTAATATAGCACAAAGCAGTGCAAAAGCAAGATCTACTATAATAGAATAATAAAGCCTAGTTCACTTACACTTCACCCTGTACACAGTGCCACGCAGGAGGTCATGGTTCCTTTGATTCCCACCTGTAGGAACACCATGCACTGGGATTACAAGTGTGAAGGGCCTATTTACTTCTAGTTACATTGAGCAGGACCTGTGGGTCAATTCTACTCATTCCCTCCCATCGATTCTTCTTACTAAGCCTATTTTATAGCAGAGCAAGACTTGGTTGTTCTAATATTAACCTATTGATTGCATATTGTGTACGATACTTAAAATGCCCAATGCCCTATTTGAGATGCATCCTGCTACTCAGGATGTTGCAAAAACTACGTGTGTAGTTGACTGTTTTATGGCTGCATCTGTAATTTTTGCTCATCAGAAACAGAAGTACCAGT